CTGAATCAATATTTATTGATGCCTCACTTATCAATGTTACATAGTGAGCTTGCTGAAGAGTGAGGTATCGTTCATGGGTTTTCCTCCTCTGGGTATGAAGATGGTGCATGCGTCATACATTCATATATGAGGTTAAACTTGGGCCTTTTAGTCATGACTTAGCCTTGTTATGTTGGGCTTTTTGGACTACTTGAGACTTTAACAAATATTCCTGTTTGGACTTCTTACCTTTAGGCCCATAAAAACAAAGACAAACGTAACCACGGTTTTTTCCGGCTTTCCAAATTGGGCCAACCACAAAAAGCATGTTTGCCTCAATGGCCCAATCAATAAAGATAGCAAAAATGAACCCAAAAAAAAGGTAGTAAAAAGCAATCAAAATAAAAATTATATAAAGTTCAGTCTCAATCTTAATCACGAGCTTGGAAAATTTTTTATTTAAAAGTCAAGCTTATGTATTAATTAATAAAGCTGAATAAGTAAATAATATTAAAAAATATAAATTATCAAATTTGGCATTATTTTATTTTGTGGGTCATTTTATAGAAAAATAAAATGAATATCATGGATTTTTGAATTAGAGAAAGAAGAGTAAACATTACGATAAAGAAGAAGAGGTCATATCAAAACCAAAAAAGAAGAAGAAGAGGAAGAGGAAGAAGATGGCGAAGCTTATATAAAGTTAAAAAATACGCCGCTTTGGAAATTCCGACAATATATTTTTCCATACTACTTTTGGTCCTGGGAACTAGCTAGGTGGGAATATGTTGCGAGGGGAAAAATGATATTAAGTGTTTTTTTTAATTATTCCTTCATCATTATTTTAAGTATGCATCGTATATCTATCAATATATCTTCTTAGAATTCACTAATGTGATTGTCCCATTTCTTTGAATACCTGCTCTTTGTGGCCTTCTTTGATTAAGTATGAATCCTTGACTACAAATATGATACGAACTCATCCAGATTTAAATTATCTGAATTTGATATCGGTAAATTTATGTCAAGTTTTTTTAGGTAAGAGAGAGAAAATTTTATATTTCATACAAATAATAAAATAATAATATATATATATATATATAAAAATACTTCACCTAAATTTACCAATCTCAATTTCAAATTATTTGAATACGAATTCATCTTACCGTTACCTAGACTTTTTCTGTGGAGCTAAGTGCAGCGGTATTAATTACTATTTAGAGACACGTAAAACTAAAAAGGTATAATTTGATTTGTTATGCGTCAGTCGGGTGTTAATTACTCATAAGAAATTTATTTACATTGGCTTGTGTTTTTGTTGTTGCTTTGGGGCATAATTTGATATACTCATCAGATCCAATTTATAAAATATTTTTAACACGTTTTATTGAAAATTAAAAAAATTTCTAAAATTTATTAATTCTGTTTAAAAATTTAATAAGTTATCTTATCACATATTGTATAAACAATATATTTATCTTACCAACGTTTAATGGAAGGTCATTAAGCGAAATTTGCGATCAAATTTTAGTAGTGATATGACTTATAAACAGTAACAAAAAATTCTCTCTCGTCACTCTACAAATAGAATTAAAGGAGTAACTTTCTCTAGTTATAATTATAGGGTAAAGTTAACCAATTTCACAATTTTTATGAAATCATAATTAATATTTTTAAAATTTTAAAAGATGTTTGACTCTTCAACCTTGTCGTTCATTAAAATTAATGATCATAAAGTGTGTATAGGAATTAAAAGTTTCCCAACAACTTAGAGTAATTAAAGTGAGGCAACATCGAAAATAATTAACTATTATATCCTTACCCTGTACTTAAAACTTTATCCTAATTATGATGGGACGAGTTCATATAGAATTATTTTTGTAATGTTGAAACTTGACCAATATTGCAGCGTAATAGAGGCTAGTTTGTTATGATTCCAAATGATAAGTGATACTATCTCTGTTAAAAAATATAAGATATTTTTTGAAGAGTTAGATGTTAAAAAATGTAAGACATTTTTAATTTTTGAAATATAACCATTGTCTTTTTTTTTTCAAAAATACCCCTATTAATAGTGACTTTATATTTATTATAGCGTATTTAATAAGAGTAAATATGAAGAGATAAGATTAGTTTAAAAGTAGATAACTACTTTATTGAAAGGTAAGATTCGGATAAAAATGCCTTACATTTTTTAACGAAGAGAATAAGGGATAAAAGATTTTATTTTTCATTTCCCTTCATTTTTTTAATACAACGTAATATTTAGATATCATTCGGCTTAATAGATATACAGTGGTTTTTCTAACATGCATATTTTTTTTATTTAATTATACGATTTGAACCATTAATCCTACTTACCTTAAAGGAAATTAAATAGCCACGTTCACTACTTGACCAGTCGACACAACACAAACCTTTTTTTTTTAATAATTGAAATCAAGTCAATTAATTAATTTGGATTGGTCAAGGATCCAAATGAGAAGTTTTATTCAAAGTTTCATTGGGTGCTTTGTCTAGGTACGTAGGTTGAGGACCATGCATATGCATGTCACAACAAATAAATCGGTAGTACAAGTGCCAAACTCGTGTTGATAATTATGGATGTATAGTCATTTCAAATGGGAAGAGAAAGATATAAGAGCATATGGCGGAGGAGAAGGGACAAGCCAATAAGATTGGGAGCAAATACATAGAGTGGTTTATGTTTAGAATATGAAACAAGAGGCAGCATGACTATAAGAGCTAGGCCTTACCTTAAATAGCACAATGTGTGTGCGACAATGATATCTTGAGTTAGTTAAATTCATAAATCAAAGTACCATAATTATATTCTTTCTCCATGTGTTTCGGTACATGCATGCCGCTCCTTCTGCCAACATACACATGCTTCCACGTTCATCTTCAAAGCATAACTCCTTCACTGATAGTTCTTAGCTAGCTCCGTTTAGTTTATTATAAAGTATTTTTAATTGAATTATACTTCTCAACGAGTTATAATTGACTAATTTTAAAATTACACATTTGTCTATGTTTATTTTTATTTGACAGGAAAAATGAATACGCAACTCCTTTTAGTTTTTCTTAATTTTGAATTAGGTTTATTTTGTTTTAATCAAATATTTATCATTTGATTGATTAATTATATTAGTTATTAAAAAATAAAAGAAAAAATAATAATAAAATCCTTACGAATGCCATGATACCAATGACATTTTTTGGGACCTATTTGTTAATAACTTTTTTAGGAAAAAATGATTTTACTCTTATTAATAAATTATAATTTCTTATTTATTTATTATGATTCTTTAAACAAAAGTTGTGAATAAAATTTGTTACTTTGAGAATTTATTTTTCATTAATAAAAATTACACTTGATAAATTATAATTTTTTATTTAACTCTTTCAATTTACAGAATAAAAGTTATGATTGACTCTTGGTTTTTAATAACAAAAATTATATTTGATAAATTATGATTTTTTTAACTCTTACAATTTATAGAATAAAAGTTATAAATCCTTAAACAAAAGTTGCGAATAGATATTGTCAATTTCAGTAAGGGTAAAATGGTTCTTTTTCTAAAAAAATTATTGACAAAGAGGTCATTGAAACTTCATTGATATTAAAAAATTTTGAGGGATTAAATTATTATTTATATAATTTGAAAGAATTTTATTATCATTTTTTCAAGTTAAAATTAATAATGAATATTGACTTTTTCAAAATAAAAATATTTTATTTAATACTTTTAGCCAAAAAATTTTGATTTAATACAGTACTTAGACTCTTTCTATGTATATTTTTATTCAATAGGGCGCTTCATTACTTGAAAAATTTTATTAAGTGCATCTCACCTTCTAATTAAGGGTTTTTTATCGGAAAACCTTATATATTGCACCTTAAAATATACTCAAAATGCCTTATATTTTTTAACATTATAGTTTAAAAAAGTTTTATAATAATGAATGGAGGGAGTATATGATGAGTTTTTATGTATGAAAAATTATCTTCATATTTGCCAAATTTAATGATCTCCACACCCATTCATTAATTGCATTGTGTGAGAAAGAGACTGGATTCTAAAACATTCTGAAGTTTCTATATATGATCAATATTACTGGCATTTCTTGACTTGATCATTCAATATTAACAAGGAAGAATAATAGAGAAGTCTCAAAAGGATCAATTAATTTAAGTTATATCTCAAATGTCAAATTTTAAAAATTTGTAACTCAATTTTTTAATTTTGCAATTCTGTTGTGATGAATTTGCAACTTATGTTTCAAATTTTAACTGAAAAAATAATTTTTTTATTTTTTAATCATGTTAAAATTTTAAAAATAAACTACAAATTTATCACAGTGCAGTTACAAAATTAAGAGATTGAGTTAAATTTTTAAAGTTTGACGTTTGAAACCAAACTTAAATTAATTGATCATTTTGAATCTCTTTTGTCATTCTCCCTATTAATAATCGATTGTATGTATCACCGTCTGACCTTTCTTTTCTTTTCCTTTTGCCTGAATCCCTACGTATGTGATTCATAACTTATTTTTAAGCTTTCTTTTTAAGGCTTTTATTTAGAATGAGAAGAAAATAGTTACGAGAGAAAAATAGAGAGAAAAGACATTTTGCACCTTTATTTTCCCACCAAATGGGGAAACTAGAGGAAAACTCAAACTTTATGTTAAGAAAGAAATATGTCTTTTTCTTCTCTCTTTTTTAGTTTTTTCTTATTAGAAGGGGAAAGAGCAGATGTATGCATATGGTAATGTTGGGACTTCATCTTGCATAAGAATCTAATTAGCCAGTTTCAAACATAAGATGCTAATAACCACGCATGCAGCAGCCCGAACCCGTGATCATATGCGCATCCTTATAACCATATTATAACTCAGAGGAAGAGGAAAATAGCTAGAGAGAGGATCGATGCATGTCATTAATTGAATATCTAATTTGTTAAATACATTAAACAGTATTACCTGCGATTACAACTGATAAAAAATGGTTCGTAGCATTATCCAAAAAAAAAAAAAAATTGGTACGTAGAAACCAACTAGCTCTAATCTCTATTTCTTCTGACACAGCTTCTGAGCCCAAGCATGTGATATCCATCCGATCCTCTACAAACTACAAATGAAGTAGTAACTGTATATATATATAATTCTTACATAATAGATTCACATCTTTAATTAATCTGTGTTCTTTCTGTACGAATATAACTACTATATAAAACCGCAGATGAAGATCAATCATTAATTGGTTCTTGTCAGTGTTACTGATCAGAGCTTGTTGGTGTGGTTCTCTTGGATCACAGTCACAACGACACTTTCTTCACATTTCACTACTGTTCGCTGCTCATCTTCATCATCGTGATCTGCATGATAATAATTCTCTCCCACCAAACTTTTGGCCCTCAAGGATTCCCTTTCCCAATCAGTGTAGTACACCACAAGCAGAATAGACACCACACAAGCGATCTGAGCCGCAAGCAAGCCATAACACAGACCCACCAAACCTAGCTCCCAAATAAACCCCAAAGCTATCCCCACCGGTGCTCCGACCAAGTAAAACGCGTACAGGTTTATCCCTGCCCCTATCCCGGTTCTCGCACTCCCTCTCAATATCCCACATCCTGTTGTCTGAGGACAATTCCCTATCTCACACACTCCAATAATGGGCAACACAGCCATTGTTAACTCCAACACTTCTCTGTCACTGCTGAAAACCCTACCCCATTTCTCTTTCCCCACCGTGGTCCCCACCAGCCCCACCATCGAGCTAACCACTGCCAACCCTAACGCCACCGTACTTGACAGTCTCGCCTTTTTCGGCGACCCAGCTCCGAGCTCGTTCCCGACTCTCGTTGACGATGACGCGCTCAGAGCGTTCGGGAGCGTGTACATGAGCGATGTGGTTTGGATTATTATTCCCGATGTGGCAAGAGCCACGCGAGGGTTTTTCAAGTATCCGGCGAGGATTGTCATGAGCTCGTACCACCACCACTCCAGACAAACTCCGACGCAGCTTTGTATTGAAAACCTTATAAGCATGCCCCATTCGCTCCCCAACGACCGGCGGCGGTTCGTCATCACAAGAGGCGTGGACAGAGTCAAAGGGTCTTTGCTGGTGGTGACGCGTGGATAGAAGTACATGTAGAGGAGAAGGAAGAAGAGGGTGTTGAAATTGGCGACGAAAGATGAGATCGCGATTCCTGGTACTCCAAGTTGGAGCTTGAAGGTGAAGAAGATGACTATTGGGATGTGAAGAAGAGTGGCTAGTGAAGTGCACCATAATAGTGGCCAAGTGGTGCCTTTACTACGTAAATAGATACGAAGAGGATGAAGGAAGCTATTTGCGATGAGGTCTGGGAGGGCATAGCGACAATAGAGACTAGCGACTGAGGTTATGTCTGGGTTTTGGTGGAGACAGAGCATCAAAGGTTCGAGCTTGATCCATAGGAGAGAAATCGGGAGGGAAGCTAGTAAGAGGATGAGGATGGTTCTGTGAAGCGTGAGAGAGAGTAAGGAGAAGTTTCTGGAACCGAAGGCTTGGGCGCAGAGAGGCTCCATGCCGGCGGCGAGACCGGAGAGGACGGAGTAACCGGTGATGTTAGTGAAGCCAATGGCTAAAGAACCGGCGGCTAGCTCAAGGCTTCCCAACTTGCCCATGCACACGACGAGGATCATGTTCTTGAGGTAGCTCACTAGGCACATCGCTGCTATTGGGAGCCCTATCTCTCCCACTCTCTTTAGCTCCTCCATTACCTGACAAGCAGCAGATTGTGAATTCAATGTAAATAATATAATTAAACTATTGCAGGTTTCGATTATTGAAAAATACTCGTTTAATTTTGAGTTTGAATTTTTTTTGTTTAATATTTTCAAGATTGTTTCGTCTTCAACATAATATATAGCATCACATTATTATGTTAGTATGCTAGCAATAACACCAATAAATATATACAGTATTATATTGAGGTTAAGTGTAGTACTCTAGGAGAGAAAGAAAACCTTGAACATACATATAATATAATAATGCTTTCTCTTGTATATATGCAAATTAAATAATTTTTTAAGTAAAAGATCTGAACTCGCATTTATAACATATTTCAATATATATATCATCACAATTGGATGTTTGACGTCAAGGTAGCCATGCATGTCACCAAATATCTAAATGGACATAATTATAATGAGCAAAGTAAGAGGATTAAATAATTTTAAGAGAGCAAGTAATTAAATGAGTACTATATATATATGGAGGAATATATATAAAACGGTAAATTATTAGGAGTCCAGCAGGAGAGTACAAGTGGTGGGCTTGTGTGGGGATAAAAAGAGAAAGAAAGAAGAGGAACAAGGTTATTGGGAAAGGGAATTGCATTTCGTACCTCAGCAAGTGTCGGGTATGCTTGTTGGGATTTCTCCTCTGCAAGCATCATGGATCCAAAGTGATCTTTTGCTTTTGTTGGATTGGTTCCGTATGTGTGGGAATTTGGGTGGTTTAATGATGAAGAACAAGAAGGAGATAGTGGGTGTCTGTTCTTTCTCCACAGATACACATATGACCTACAAAAGCACCAAATATGATGAGAAAAGAGACTGAGGATAGCAAAGTGGGTATGAGAAGCAAACCAGCAATGCCTTTATATATAAGGTTTTGGAGCTGGCCTGGTGGGGAATCCATCCATCTTGCTTTACCATGCATTTCTACACTTTTTTTTTTTTTAAATCATAATGCTCAAAACTTTATCTATCTATATCATTCAAAGTACTTTTGCTATATCTTGACTAGGGGTGAAAATAGGTTAGGTCCTTAACAGGGGCTTACATCCTGGTCTACTTTAAACTTAGCATAGCTTACTTACTAAATAGGCTTAAACTAAGCTGAGGCCTTTAATTAAACCTACTTAATTAAATAGACTAGACTTATTTTTTCAAAACCTAGCCTACAAGTCTAACAAGCTAGCCTATATATATATATATATATATATATTATGTGCTATATCACAAACACATTAGTTTTATCATATGATTTTTAATCAATTTATTCTTTACTACTTCTAGTTATATTTTCAATCATATTTGAGTTATATATTAACTTTAATATTATTACTTTATTGTTATATTATATTATAGTTAGTAAGTCCTTTCAATTTTTATATATTGTAATTGATAAATTAGGTTATATGTTATATATTATAATAGCCCTAAAGTATATTTGAGACATTTAAAACTAAAATATAAGCCTATTTAAAAGGCTTTAATTTTAAATAGGCTTCTAAATAGGCTTACAGGTTAGGTCAGGCTTTAAATAGGCTCAGGCTTGAGCGAGCCTGAGCCATAAAAAAAGCCTTATATAAGTTTCGGGTCAGGCTTAGGCCTCTAATTTACCACACAGGTTTAAGCTTATTTGGCCAAAGTCTAACTCGATCCAACCTATTGTCACCCCTAATCTTGACCATAACACACACACACTCACTCACACACTCTTACATGTCAAATTTAATTCTCTGAATTTACATTCATGCATTCAGGAATTAACATACCCACACACTAAAAAAATACTTCATGTATATGAGGTCAACATACATTTTCTTTTTATGTACATCGATCATAAATGTTTGAATTCTGGACCAAGAAATAAATTCCCTTGTTTATAACTAAAAGTTCATGCTTTGAAAGTAATTAAAAATAGAAGCACGTATTTGCTGGTTAATTTCCCCAAGTTTGAAGTGTATATGGGACCTTTCACAAACAGAAAATTTAATTAATAGCTCAAGAAATTAAAGGAGGTTCGAGTGAACAAGGCTAGAAATTTACATTATAGCATGGAGGAGCAATAGCTGGGAGAGTTAATTATAATTAGGCATAACAATAATTATAATCTAGTCAAATAATTATATAAAAAATCCAGTCAAATAATTATAACAATACTCGAATACAATCTAGTCAAATAATTGTATAAAAAGATCATGAATTAAAAGACTATGTGTAACGGTGTTAATTAGTTTGTGTGTGTGTGTGAGTCTATCTCTGTTGAACATACATATGTTGGCATCCTCGTTTGTCGTAGTTTTCAAAATTGTGGAAACATAATCATCTGCTCTGCCCAAAAAGCAACGCAATTGTGCTGATGTACCAAAAATCTGATATCCACGTTCGTCTCAGAAACAAGTCAGTGAATGTGCATGTGAGCAAGAGATCACAATTGCTCCTATACTCTGTTTTTTTTTTTTTTTTTTTTGCTGTTGAAATTGGCTCTCTGAAGCTCAAGTCCTCTTAGACTCTAGTTTTCAGTAACACGTGTACACCTAATTAGCTACTTGTCACTGTTCTATATACTTAGATTTGGTATGCGTACTCCTCCGATTTCATTTATAAGTCACATTTTATAAGATTTATTTAATCTCATTTATAAGTTATGATGCGGCTTTTTATATAATATTTGAAAGTTATTTCTAAAATTATTCTTTACAAGAGAAAAAAATAATATAATATCACTTTTTGAATTTATTATATAAAGACATATTTAAAATTTTACACATTTTTATTTCTTATACTTTTTTGCGTTGATATTAATGAGATTGGTAAAAATAACTTATAAAGAAAACCAGAGAAGTATATCTTAACATTCCTTCAATTAATTAATTTAATTAATACATACTTCTTTTAGATTAAAATATATGACATTGATAATTAATTTATGATTCTAACAAAATTAGTTGAAACCTTAATTTTTTAAAAAAATTTAAATCTTTCCAATTTATATAAGAGCCCTAATAGTGATAATTTATAAAATTTCAATACATCATTTTTTTTTTCAAAAAGAGTAATAAATGAAGTAAGGACATAGTTAAAAAAATAATTATAAAAGTTGTTCAATGTTCTATATTTTAAACTAAGCAAAAATTTTAAAAGATATTTTATATTATGATATAGAGGGAGTACATATAAATCTTTAGTTCAATCGCTTGCAAGTACTATATCTCAAGTGTTTGTATTAATTAACAATTATCCTTCTCATTTTGAGAGATCGATTATTTTCCTGTTGCTAGCAGTAAAGACCTATAATGTCCCCCACACACACACAAAAATCTACATCTACGCTACGTGGCTAGGGATTAATTACCTACAAACCCTAAAAAGACCTTAATGATGACTGAAATTACATAATTAAATGAGGAATAATTTATTGATCAAGCAGTTAGGGTGTGGGGTTTGGAGATCTAGAATATATATATATATATATATATATTGATCAGTTAATGCCTTTTAATAATTTGTTAGGACGAGGTCACTTCAGTAAGTTACAAACAGTAGGGCCTTCAAAACTAACGGCACATTAGGGTTTATTTACTTAGCTAGGTGGACAAATGAAAAAGATGAGAGAATTAATAATAATAATATATAAGATTGGATTGGAAGCAAAATTTGCTTTTTCCCACATGCGCGTGGCCATAGCAAGACTTTGGACGAGTCCAAAATCACACAACTGTTAGAAGGTATCCCCACGATTCCTATTTAAGCACGCACCTTGTCCATTAAAGCTACTACACTCAGCAGCTTGCAATTCCACAGTATGTAAATCCTATGGATAGATCCAAGTTTGTTGTTTGTTTCTTCCTTTTCAAATTATTAATGTCTTGGCACTGCCAGTATTTATGTGCTTTTCAGTACCAAAAACGTTTGCACCTCCACATATTTTCCCTTCTATACACACACATATATCTTATCATCAACCAACAATTTCACAGTCAATCGCAAACACACACACATATATTATTAAGTTGTTCGAGTATGTAAGGACTTGGGTTGATGTATTGCTACGTCTTACATGAAATAAAGTTAAAGTTATCAAACTAATTACAATAAAGGAGAATAACTTATAAACTTAAACATCGAAGTTTTGATTTAAAATTTAGTGTATTTCCATTTCTTTTAACTAATTGGTCTCTCTCATGTTTTTGAACGGTCCATCCTCGTTCCTCACTTATGTACACACACATGCGTGTACAAATCATCTCAACATATTATTACAATATACATAGTATTCTTATTAATCAGTGGTGTCTGATATATATATATATATATATATAACACAACTATTTTCACAAGGATGCCTGTATATAAATTTTCTAACTTTACTATATATTCACTTAATTGGCTTCCACAATTAAAAGCAATTCAAAGTGATTTCACACAAATCCATCAATCATAGGAAGGTGTGGCTGGTGGGGAGAGAGGTGGAGGGGTGCTTGATAACCATTGCATGTCTAGAAACATCATATCTATATCTATCGTTACAATTTACAATATATATATATATATATATATAGTTGATAGTTGATGGGAGAGGGAGGGAACTGGCAGAGGCCTTGACCCTCCAAGTTTTCGATTTTTTCTAAGTATGATATATGTGTTAAGTATATTTTTGAACCCTAAAATTTATGTAAACTTCGTGTCGTATGTATGTATGTATGTGCGCGTGCACTTTTTTCAATCTTGCCGCTCACCTCAACTAAAATTCTAAAGGCTATGGATCCAGGAGGCAAGAAATTAGGCGTGTCGTTTGAAAGTTGATGTAACCAGAAATGGAGGGTTTAATTATCCTATTATCCTTTTGAAGGAGTCTAATATATACAAATCTAAAAGCTATATAATATCATGGAAACATTCAGATTCAATGCTACCAGTTACCACCTAAGAAAGTGCTTCTTATTGTCAAACATTTTACCACCGACTAGAATCATTACAAGTTTTCATTTCTTTTCTCTTCCCCCCAGCGTGTTTCTTTGAACAAACATGTACAAATTCTTTTTGTTTTTGAACTAGAAGCACATCCTGTACCTTTAATCTTTCTCTGCTTTTTTAACCCTCTCTCTGTTTCTACTTTAAATGGACAGTCGACAAAAATTTTAGCAGATTTCAACTGCATCTTTTGCCCCCTCTACAACAACAGCATGCTACGATTAGATATCTCCAGGATTTATCTTTGTTTGACTTGTTGTTCAAACTAATTACTTTTCCGCAACATATAATAAGAGCTTCGACAGTAAAAGTCAAAAGTTTCCATTCTTAATATTTATTTCCTTGAGAGGAAAATACCAAACAACACGAAAAGAGTAATTGTAAAAGTCAAAACTCGACTCATCAAAGGCGCGCCCTTCATGTACATCGCAAAACTTGCCAAAATTTGAAGGGGAAAAAATGGGAACCGATTTCGGTGCTCAGCAAGTGGTGCTCATCGTCCATCAAGATCTGGACCATCCAGATTAAAAAATTTAGATGGTCTAGATTTTTTTAATTTTAATTTTAATTTTATAAAAATAAAATTTATAATTTTTTTATAAATATATTTATCATCAACTTGAACAATACTGATTTAATTTAAATGGTTCAATTTAATGTTATAATTTTCATAAATTAACTATCTAAATGTATTCTGGATAGTCTAAATTTAATATTAAATTTTTATCTGTAAGGTCTAAATTTAAAGTTTTTATTTTTATTTTTTATTTTATATTTATTAAAATAAAAAAATATTAAAAAATTATTAAAATAAAAATTATTAAAAAATTAATATTGAATTTGTCTTGTC